CCCCCCCCCCCCCCCACAATCCCAGTGCTATGCACATAAACGTCTTAAAACACAGTGGTAGCCCTTTTTGAGAAGCTCGAACATTAGTCAATTTGGTAATTTCCATACACAGGAGGACCCCAAGAATACAGACCCCAAAATCTCTACACAAGGCTCGTTCGAGGGACCTCCCAAAGGGATCCAGAAGTTATGGAAAGACTAATCCCTATAAAACACTATACAAGCCCAGTCTCCATTTCACTTTCCACGGTCTTTTCCATTTGATCCTCCATTATTGGGGTCATATCCCTAAACGCGAATGCCTGACTAGTTTCCATTTTCTCCTCCCTTCTCCTTTTGTAGTCCTATTCAAATCCCTCTGTCTCAGTCAAGCAACTGCCTGGCTTGGCTTCACGCTTCATGGCATTTAGGGTTTAGGGAGTTTAGGGTTTGGGGGTTGTAGGGCCTGGGTTTAGGGTTTAGGGTTTAGGGGATTTAGGGCTTGGGTTTAGGGGGCTTAGGGCTTGGGTTTAGGGGCTAGGGGTTTCAGGGCTCGGGGTATTCCACACGCAGCTGATGCTTGAGCTGACTTGCATGGAGGCGAGATCGAACGAAGCAGGATCATCGGCTTTCAGTTTAGGGTTCAGGGTGAGCAGAACATGCGACCGTGACACAATAAAGCTATCCCAGTTTCCATGGCATTTCCTGTTCAATTTTGAATCTCTATGATCGGTGTAATCCCCTCTAAGCCCTACATAATCAGAATCATGAGCATGAAATGCCAAATGAATGCTACAACTTGTGCTCGCACTATACAACGTTGCATTACTCCTGTGTGAAGGTGTGAGAGAGATGTCGCCTGGCAGATGGCCAACATGAAGAAGATCCAGTGAGTGTATCCACCTGGCCAATGATGACCGGCTCATTTCAATCTACACAAAACGGAGCGGGGGCACAGCACGCCTGGGAAGAAGAAGATCATCACCTTGCTGGGTTGCTGTTAAGGAACTTAGATTAAGTTACTATATTGGGTATATATAGTAAATAATAGGGTTTCCCCAATACGGTAACTTAATTTAAGTTCCTTAACAGCAACCCACCTTGCTGCAGTACTGCGGTAGATCACGGGATCAGTCTCTAGGAGCAACCAATGCAAGTCTGCGAAGGCCGGGGCACTGCGAGCAATACGTTCAAGAGCGAGTCCGCATAGCGTCCGAATTCAAAATCGTGCGCTGAAAGCAGCTTCGTCGCCAACACTGGACTCCTCAGCTAGTGCAAGCCCATCACTGGAGACCTCCAAAAGAAGCACTCGCTGCTGCCAGAGACAACACCGCAGCATAGACAAAATTACACAAAGACGAGGATGGATAGACCGCTAGTTTTCCTGAACTCGGCATTACTTGAGTTCGCGATATTATAATCAAGCCCCTGGCAGGCGGGAAACATCCACAGGCGAAGACTTACTAACCGTACGTAGGAAATGGAGGAGTGGATCCCTATAGCAGTTGCTATACAATCCCCAAGACGATAGAAGCAGTCATGTTCTGTTCCATTCCTTGGGTTCCCACTACCAATTTGAAGGAAGACAGAAGAGCCCCATATGAGCCATAGTCTAGACTCCTAGTATCCCCCTTGATAACCCCTATAGAGTAGTCCCCGATATAATCCCCTATATAACCCCCCTTAAGGAGTTTAGACTATATATCCCTATAGAGTATAGCCCCCCTGAAGGAGTTTAGACTATTGCTCATATGATGTGAACGCCACCAAGTCTCATCTCAGGGTGCGATCGCACGATGAGGATGCCAGCACGGAGGAGGCCCTGAAAATTATTGGCGGCACCCTTTAAAGGGAATATAGAGGTTACATAGGGTTTAGGGATTAGGGTTTAGGGGTTTCCCAAAATTGGGAGGCCCCTTGTTTGGCGTCCCCATATTAAGGATTGTATAGGATTTGGCTGACTATAAAAGGATTCCCCGTTCTGGAAACTCCCAATTAGCAGGTGTCTGCGAACGTGGTTTCTTGCTGCTATTTGTGCAGTTGCTCTGTCTGCAGAAGCTGATCGAATCGCATCTTACCCGTGATGCAACAGGCGCCGCAACGGCTGAGGCAGCGGCATAAATTGTCAAGAGCGGCTCGAAAACAAATGGCAAGAGAAACGTTGAAGGGAATGCATATTCGTACCTTGCTCCCAGGGTGCCAACTGTCTTGGTCCATGCTAAGAAGACACAGTTCGGGTCGGGGATTCAGGATGTCGCAGCCAACGGTGCACATTCTGGCCCATCGCTCGTTGGATCGCATAAGCCTCTCAGGGTTTGCCGCATAGGTGGCAAATGTAGACCCAGCTGCAGGCTGAGGTCACCTAACTTTCTCACAAACCGTTACTGTAGAAGACATGGGAGATTTGGAGCTGTCTTGCATTCTTGCGTAGACCATGAAAACAATAAAACTCATAGTAATACTACTAGTAATATTAACAATAACATTAACAGTAATCGCTACAGTATGCTATAGTAATAGTACTAGAAATGAAAACTATTCGCCACCCTTCCGATATCGTAGAAGCACTGCACCCCTCTCCGGTCCTCAAAGCGCTGCACAAAGAAAGGAAGCTTGGAAAGAGGCGTGCCATCGTGCGTCCGGAAGCCCATGTGGACCATAATTTCAAAAGACATCTGGTATGTCATCCTGCCAGGGCTTGCAGCATCTTGGCTACTCACCGGCCTGCTCCGGTCCTGTGGTTGTCTGGCGTACTGCTGCCAAGGCTCACCAGGTCGAGAATTATGTTGAGAGACACCGAAACGAAATACAGAATCCTTAGGCGCACATGAACTACTTCTACTAGCAGGCTAGGAAACAAGGCAGGACCCTGAAACAACGGCAAGCGGTTACGGCACATTACAATCATACCTTCAGGCAACTCCGCTGCTTTTAATCCCGCCTTTGCAAATGAAACTCGCACAGTAAGAGGCTCTGGCTCTACTATAACTATTACTATTAATATTGCTATTACTTTTAATATTACTATTACTATTATTACTACTATTACTGTCACTATTACTATCAATATCAATATTAATCTTACTATTACTGTTACTATTGCTGCTACTGTTTTACTATTACTGGTACTATTACTGCTACTGTTACTATTTGTATTACTCTTGATGTTACTGTTACTATTACTATGACTATCTGGAACGCTAGGCAGAGTCCTAAGTTAACAGCACTATTACTGCTACTGTTACTATTTGTATTACTCTTGATGTTACTGTTACTATTACTATGACTATCTGGAACGCTAGGCAGAGTCCTAAGTTAACAGCAACCCCAATATCGACAATGCTGCCAAAGGGGAGGATGAGGATGGTTCTGCCATCCTATCGGGCTGTTCTCAAAATTATGGTAGCATATATTGGTATATTATAATATACCATACTATATGATACTATATTATGGGCCTTTTTTCGTTAAAGATTATACTGCAGCACTTAATATTTAGGGGTACCAAAATGGGACTTTAATTTTGGGAACTTCCCCTATCCTCCTCTCTCCTTGCAACTCAGGGGCATGTAGCAAGCTTCGCGCGTCTCTTTGTACTTGAAACCTACGCTGTCAGCAACTCGGGCGCAGATCTCGTACATGGAAGCATTGCCGACCACGACGATCTGCCAGGTAGCCGTTAATGGCTCGAGCACAGCAAGGAAAGGACAAAATCATGACAATCATGGGAACCCTTGCCTGGAAAGCCAGTAGCCCATAGTCAGTCTGCATTCGACCAGTTTGGGTTAAAAATGCTTAGAATTTAGAATAGCTTCCCATGGACCCGGTAAACCCCGAGCACTATGCGAATCCTAAGGGCAAGGCCAAAGAGAAGCTGAGGTTGTAGATGAGCCCGGGCTGTCGGCCCCCCTGGCCATGCACGCGCATCACTGGTACCCAATGTTGGGGTCCACTTACTGATTGTACTCTGGATCTTGTGAGTAGCACTTACTTCGGCTGAACCCACAAACGTGCTGGCGCGCCTCATAATTGAAGGTGAGCACAGACCAGGCGTAGGGCAAGTAGAAAATGCCTCCAGGTATGAGGTCTGCTGCTGCATCACCCCATTGCTGAGTTCGGGTTTGCTACGAACCTTCCTTTAGAGAATACACCGAAACGGGTATGCCGAAAGAAGACCTGGCACAATTTAATAACAACGCAGATCTATGTCAGGCCTATACTTCGTGGGCCTTTTTTAAAGTCTATGATTTGAATCAACATGGTCTCACGGCACGGCACATTCCCAAACACGAAACCACGTGATGAACTGGCAGCTGAAGCCCCTGAATCCTAAACGCCCTGAAAGCTAAACACTCTTAACCCTAAACACCCTAAGCCCTAAACACCCCAAAAACCCTAAACCCTAAAAATCCCAAACCCAAAAAATCCCAAACCCTAAACACCCTAAAACCTAAAAACACAAAAGCCTTAAACACCCTCAACCCTGGACACCCTAAGCCCCAAACATCCGAAAGCCTAAACACCCACACCCCAAGCCCGAAACACCCCAACCCTAAACACCCCAAACCCTAAACGCCCTAAAGCCTAAACACCCACACCCTAAGCCCTAAACACCTCAAACACTAAACACCCTAAAGCCTAAACACCCTAAGCCCTAAACACCCCAAACCCTGAACACCCTCTTAACCCTAAACACCCTGAGCCCTGAACACCTTAAACCCTACGCCTTCTTTGGGGGGTGGGACTCTGAAGATCCTAGGACTTAAGCCCTCAACTGGGCTCCCGGCATCCCCAAGTGATCAAACCAGCGGCAATGCAGCAAAGACCTGGCAACAAGCAAGTGCATGTTTATACAATATACTTTCTTGTTAAGCGCCTCTTTTACCAACATATTCCAGCCGGTAAAGTCCAAAATGGAGAGGCGAACTTCCAGCTCTCCACCGGCTTAGAGGCAAGAAAGGGTAGCATTTAGGGGTTGGGATTTAGGGTTTAGGAGTTAGGGCTTAGGGTGTAGGATTTAGGGCTTAGGATTTAGGGTTAAGGGTTTAAGTTGTATATAATATATGTGGTAATAGGGGTTTTAGAAAGGGTTATATGGGTTTATATGGGGGGTTATGTAATGAAACTACCCCAGTAGGATATTACCCCAGTGATGGAGCATCAAATGGAAAAAATGAACAACGAAATGGAGACTGGCGTTATATAGTCAATATTTCCTGCATAATTTAATGGGCATAGGTTCCTTGTTAGGGACCATATCAATTAGGGACTATACTGATGACAATATTGACAGTAATGCATGATGTAGTGGCTTGGGGTTTCGTCTTACACTGCGACTATACAGGGTTCAGGGTTTTGGGCTTCTACAGCTTCTCTCCTGCACCTGGACATTCCGCTTGCCGCGTGAGAACCCTGGACCCTAAACCCTAAACCAGTGGCAAGACAGGGCCCTTGCCTTTGAAGATCTTCCAGCACTTCAGGTAGACAGAGGTTCTGCTGTAATTCTGCCTCAGGCCACCCCGAGGTCTGTTTCCAACCTGTCCCTTTTCTATTTCAGAGCCCCCTGGGACTCCCCAAAAGACATCCCTGGATTCTGGAAACGCCCTAAACCCCAAATCCTAAACCCAACCAATGTCGGCGCGCTGGGCGGCTGACCCCTTTCCCCAACAAGTGGCGAGCCTCTTTCATTCACGGATCTCTGGCCTCTATAAGCTCTTCCATTTTCTTTTCCATTATCCCTCTATAGCCCCTATATAACCCCAATATACGATAATATACTACTTTCCATTGTCTTTTCCATTATCCCTATATAACCCCTACATAACCCACCCTAAATCACGTCCATCCCAGATCTATCGTTCACAACGGCAATGGTGCTAGTGCTAGAACCAGTCCTAGCATCACACCAGGGGCTCGATAAAGTGAATTTGCAACGCACAGACTTACATGGCGTAATATTTGCGATGCCACCCAAGATCTTGGGAGTAGATCGGATCCGGCAACGAATATCAAAAGCTTTTGGCAGGCGTCGAATTTAATGTCAATCAGTTACAGCAAAGAGAGTGAAACCACTACCAGCTGCATGCTGCTAGTCAATACTACTTACGACTGCTGGATTCTCAGTTGTTATTATTACTACCATTGCAATTACTAGTCTATTGTTCTCACTGTGGAAAGAACTATTTCGAGCATTGTTTTTCACACTAGTACTGTTCCCATTACTTTCCCATGGACAGTGATGGTCATGCGCCGAGGTGCCAATAGATGCCTCGGGGCTCGTGCTTGGCTGCCTGAAGTTTCAACTGTCATAAAAGAAGCTCTGGATTGGATACTGTACTGGCCCCACCCAGTACGAGTCTGCAACATGGTGAATAATACAGCCGATATAGAAATATTCCCTGGCCCTTACTGGGTGGGGGGGGGGTACTACCTAGGCAATGGGAGTCAAACATGAAAAGAATGGAATGAAGCATTGACGGACACCGTAACCTCCAACAACAAAAACGTCAAAGGAGCCACCTTTGGCAACGATCACGGGAATCATACTCAGCTATGTAGGATTTGCTACAGAACCGCAAGAACCACGATAGACATATGAGCCATAAGCTCAACTCCTTAAAGGGGGGCTACACAAGGGATTATATAGGGGACCACTGTAGGGTTATTAAGGGGGATATTAGGAGTTCAGACTATGGCTCAATATGGTGAACCTCCAGCGCATGGTTGGTCACTGGGGGCACGGCGGATAGACTGACAGGAGCCCCTGCCGCGAAGGACGGATCTTGTCATCATTGCAACCATAGATGGAAACTTGCTTTATTTCTAAGTTCCAACTGGTTGTTTCTTTGTTGGGACACGTCAAGTGACTTGCAACCACACATGGCGCTCAAATACCCTTTTGGCAAGAATCACTTCTCTTCTCGCACATCTTGAGGGAAGCTTCGAAGGGATGCTAGTCTGATGCCAAAGCCGCATCCTTCGGGTGACTTGTAGATGAAGAACACAATCGCTCGTCGAGGTGGATTCTCTGAAGGCAAAACATCAAGCAACTGTCTCGTGCAGGGGCTGCAAACACAGGCCCTCAACCCTGAAAGCCTTTGCTGGTTGTTAATAGTGGATCAAGGAATGGAAGGAACGTGAAAACTACTGAGTTGATAGAAGAAGCCTTATTTGACATTTTTCGCTAGCCGCGAATTCTTTTCAGGCCATTGTTCGAACACCATGATTAACGTGTTTTCGTTTTGGGGCCCTAACAGAATCGATGCTATCCCCTGCTCGGTTCTGTGAGAGCCTTCTTCAACACGCCTATGTTTGTCTTTGTAGCAGCCTATTGTTAGGCAGGGGGACTACATTAAGCAGGGGGCAACAGTAGGGCAGCAGGGCTACAACGGAGATCCATTCAGATGTTCACTTGATCCATGGCCCTAAACCCTAAAGCCATAAACTAAACCCTAAAACTCTATAGTCTCCTTAAGTAGAAAGAATATGACGTATATGGGGATCTTATTAGAATACATCCCAAAAGCCATATCCCATCTACTTAAGGGGGCCTATACACCCTAAACCCTAAACAGTAGTTTCCATTTTCTTTTCCATTACCCCAATATAACCCCAATAGAACCCTAATACTCTATCTACTTAAGGGGGACTATAAACCCTAAACAAAGCTCCCACCTCGAAACTGAAATGTCTCTGGCAGAGCTGCCAGCGCGCAGTCCCGGGCACTGCGCGTGTCGAACACAATAAATGCCTCTGCGCCTGGGTTTAGGGTTTAGGGTTTAGGGCCATGGTTCCCCTCAGGGTTTAGGAGTCAGGGTTAGGAGCCATGGCTCCCACCATGGGCTATTGGACCTTCAAATTCCCTACTAAGACCCTATTAAGGGTAGGTTAAGGTACCCTAAAGGTCTACTAGCCCATAGTGGTCCCCCCTAGGGTTTAGGAGTCAGGGTTTAGGTTTAGGCTTACGTATGATCAGGGGATTCTAGGTACCTACCCCCTGATACTACCTAGGAGCCGTTGTAATCATTTGACAATTCTGGGGTCCTGATTATAAGGGTTCTGGTCACCAAAATCCCCTGATGAATATAAGGCATGTCCCAGAGTTCTACAGCAGCAGATTGCGTTGCACTTAATTACTGTTTGGGCCGAATGAAATACAAATACTGTTTTGAGGTCTATTTGAGGTACCATATACCATAGTTATACAGGCAATCTAGAACATAGGGCAATCACATTGGTAGGTATCCTTATACAACCCCACGCCAACTCAGTTTCCAAATAGAGTTTTAAACCCTAAGCCCTAAACTCTAAATATCGGTAGTTATTGAGGCCGCTACATCAGGGGAGGTCTTCTAAGGCTTCTTTCCTGTTCATAATATGCGGGGGCCTATAATGATAATATCTTGGGGTGTACTTCTTAGGGGACTGCAAAATTTCGGAAATTATATTGTCTCACTCGAGGGAAGTCGTTGTAAATGCACGCTTCATTACTATCATAATTCTTTTGCTGCTCCCGAATAATAACTCTGCGCCCACCTGGGCATTGGCTCCAAACAGTAGGGGTCCCTTTCTGGTGGATCCCTACTGACAAATTTGATTTCTAGCATACTCAGGTCCATTTTGGGGGCTGCTATTTGCTAAACACTTTTCTCAACTTCCCAGCTTTTGACAACCACCCCCGGATGCCTTGCACACCCTTCACTATCCTAAACAAAGTGTTAAACATAGTGTGAGAGAGCAGCAGGCATCACGATAAGCAGCATATAGCGGCATCCACACTGAGGGGACATCTGATCCACGGAGGTACTTCAACCCTCAAGAAAGCTTTCCTGGCAGCTCTAGTTTGGATTTCACACTTGCTTGCAGCCGTGGGACTTGACGAAATGTTCTGCAACAGCCTTGTGGAAAAAACAAGAGTGGTCACAGTTGCAGGGGGACCAAATCAGTTCATCATCGGGATACTTAGGGTATCATGTGCTGTATGGGTATACTTGTAAGTCCCCTGACTGTTCAAGTAGTCAAAGGCAAGTCAAAGTCTTACGCAAAGTTGCAAAGCATCCAAGAAAGACCCGAAACTGTCCTAATCTATCCGGGTGACTTTGTTTGGTACGGCACTGACCTAAATGGCATCGGACACTAATTGCTTGATACAAGCGACTGCTGCGCGGCGTCTTGCTGCACCGCCTGCATCCGAGGGCTGTAGACGCTAAACACACATGATCTGTAGTCTAAACTCCTACTCCCCCCTGATACTCCCCTATATAATCCCCTATACAACCTTCCTAGAACATGTGAAGGCTGAAGCTATTGCTTTCTCTACATCCCAAACACTACAACTCAAGCTACTGTTGATGGTGCCCAAAGCCATGGGGACTCTAGGCCTGAGGAATTATGGCCCCGTAGGGTTCTTAGGATCAAACTCGAAATGGTAGTTTCCCAAAATTGGGGGGGGGAACCCGATATAGACCCCAAAATACTAACATGGGGACCCCCAAAACGGTAGACCCATAATTTTGGGAAACCCCCAAATCCCGGAACCCAGAGCCCTAAACTCAGGCGCCCGGGCCTCAGAGCCCTCCAAGGATCCCAGAAACATCTGCTCAGCCTTGAAGATGGCCCTGAAAACAGGGTTGAGGGTTTAGAGATTAGGGAGTAGGGGACTAGGGTTTAGGGATTAGGGATTAGGGTTTAGGGATTTAGGGTTTAGGGTTTAGGGGACTAGGGTTTAGGGTTTAGGGATTAGGGGACTAGGGTTTAGGGTTTAGGGGACTAGGGTCTAGGGCGTTTAGGGTTTAGGGTTTAGGGTTTAGGCCCTGAAAACAGAATAACAGTTTCCATTCTCTTTTCCATCATCCCTATGCCCTATAATATAGTAGTTTCCATTTTCTTTTCTATTTTTCCTACATAACCCTCATATTTTTATCTGTCCCAAAAAATGGGTCCCCTGCTTCAAGAGTCCCCTGACCCCTCAGCGAGATACAGCTTGAAGAAAATACCCTTAACCCTAAACCCTCAACCCTAAACCCAAAATGCAAGGCTTAAGTCAGAAAATTTGGGCGGGCGCCTGCTTTTGGAAGCGACGCTTGCCCGGAGAAAGAGGGTCAGACGGTTCCGAGAATCAATTAGGTTCCCTTTGAAGCAGGGGTATGCGAATGGGGGTTATGGGTGGATATTATCACGTAGGGTTTAGGGTTTCCAAGGTTATGATTTCGGGAGTCCTACCTGCCAGGACTAGACTATTTTAAGGATCTGGGACAGCCTCCCTTTTGAAGTGCCCAGATCACAGAGGAGCAGCAAAGACAAAGTCTTCATAAGAGCAAGAGCAACCACATTACAGTTGGTCAAAATTCCGGTCCCGATTTTTGCTGCCGGCCGTATAATAATATTGAGGCCCAAACGGAGACCGCCAATGAAGATCGGTAATTGTGAGTAGTGGTAATGACGGGCAGTCTTACATTCACACCTCCACAACTACAATCATCATCAGTAGAACAAACTACTGGCAAGAAAAGCCGTGGTGATACACAGCGAATCGCAATGCCCTGAGCGTCCTTCGGAGGCTTCCTTGGCTGATGGTCCCATGGGTGGCAAACAACTTTCTCGATCAGATCTACGATTACCCCAGACTTCGGAAACATTGGCCCCGTCCCCTTAATGGGGATTATAATAAGGATCTTAATATGAAGGCCCTTAAAAGGAGGGGGTTTGTTAATCATGGGCCTCCACTATCAATAATGGACAAGCAAATGGAAAGTCAAATGGATACTGGGGGAATTTATGGGCTCGTCATTGACACTCTGCCATTGCCAAACTAAGATGGACCCGCACGAACGGCTCTGCAAAGAGCACAGCTCTTAAACCATAGCGCCTAGATGGGGGTCCATATTTGTCACAAAGAAAAACTACAGCTGCTTATGGATTACAAGGGAATAATGTCTATATGGATATTAGGCCTCTACATGAGAGGCTTTCCACTGCAACCACGGCTCCCTGATTTTGCGGGCTCGCTGCCCGGCCCTCGGATGCCTCTGGATGTTCTCCGTCCTGCAACAGGATTCTCACCTGCTCCTGGCGGGAAGTCCACAAAATTGTCGCAAAATCATAAGGTACAGGCTAGGAACACGTATTTACACCCAGGCAATATCCCGTAGTTCTGACATGCAGGTCTCCAGCATGGATTTCGAAATATGCCGACCTAGGTTAAAGCTAAAGGAGCACTGGTCCTGCTGGCTACTGAAGCTCCAGCACACCTTGGATCACCGCATTCAGAGCTGCATTAGGGCCGCTGGTACTGTCAAAAAGCAACGTTGGACTGATCTGGCAACTCGCTGGCGCATGGTCTGCAGGTGATGCAGGTGATGCAGGTGCGAAGGATATGCCTCCCAGCGCGTCCAGCAAAGGCTTAGCCTAGATGGGATGGCTGGAGCTGCTCGATGGCTTTGTACACTTGCACTGCCTTCGGTCAAGGCTCTAAGGCTCTAGGCCTAAACCCAAAAAGTTCACCAGCTCGGAGACGGCTAGCGCAGCCATGTCTTGCCCAGTCCTACCATCAAAGCCTGACTCGCACCCTACGGAGCCAACGGTACCGTCCACCGGCGACGCATCGTCTTTCGTGTCCTCACGCGACGCAAGAATGCGGTCATTCTCCCGCTTGAGCCCTGAGTTGTCGTCCCAGTACCTCTCCTCTGCACGCCCTTGCAACTCCTGCAGAGTCTGCTGGCCTCCTGCCTGAAGACCCTTCTGGAGCTCTTCGCTCCAAATTCCCACAAAGCTGCCCAAGGCAGGCTCAAAGCACCCTGCTGTGGTGACTGCAAACACTGGCCAATAGCGCGTTCCGAAGTAGCGCCTGTAGCTGGGCCTGCGCATGAACTCCACGGCACCACCCGAAAGGCAGAACTGGTGGAAGACGACCAAGCGCCGGCGCGGCGACTGCTCTAGAACGGTGTGATAAGCCTGGAACAGCATCTGCGAGTACAGGCGCCACCGGTGCTTCGGAAAACCCCAGTCCCAGTCGGGGTGGGGATCCACGTCTCGGAAACCTTCGTGAGAAACCACCTCGTACAGCTCGGCCTGGCTGTCAGGAACCGGATATGGCAAGTGCATGTACCACTCGTGATGTTGAGTCTCTGGTCCTGCAGGATGTGCATGACCATGCGAAATCAGAATCAACAGGAGGCTTTTGACGCCTCGCCTTGGCACAACGGGCTTGGAGGGAGCCTCGCTAGCATCACCTCGAAGTACCCGCAGGACTGTGGCGGGGTTGACTTCCTGGCCGTCATAGTGAGCACCACCATTGACCAGCAGCTCGCGGCAAGACTCTAAAGTTTCGGCCAGCTGCTGCTGCAGCATGGGCAGTAGCGAGGCTCGGCCGGCTAGCCTCTCTGCTGACTCCGCATCCCTGCTAGCTTCTGTAAGCCACTGCAAGGTTTCTTGGAGCTGCGCAATCACGATAACACGCTCCTTCCCGAAGAAAGGCAAAAGTCTGGAGTACACTTGTCCCACCCACTGCAGTGAGCAGTGCCCAGCAAGGTAAGGGCCAGGCCTTGTGCCCTGATAGTCAGGGCGCATCCTGCCTCCGTGTTCACCACCCACGAGCATTAGCCAGGCATCGCCATCACTTGATGCATGCAGCTGGGCGAGCTCCTCCATCTCTTCCAGAGACAGCGGGGCTGCGCTGGGAGAACTGGGAGAAATTGGAACTGGCAAAGCTGGGAAGGAGCCTGTTGCAGGGGTCTCAGTCGGACTCGGCCTCTGCAGAAGCGCCCGCACTTCCAGAGTGTGCGTTCTGCAACACCGAGGCCAGGAAAGTGCCATGGCCTCATCGCATCAACACCGGGCAGCAAGGTTCCTTGCTGAGAGACCTCGCAAAAGAACTTACTGAATGAGGACAGGTCCTACAGTGCAGACTTGCTCTTAACCAGCCATGTATCATGTAAGTGTTTAAGCGTCTGGTTTTTCCGAACAGCAGATTGCTTGTACGTGTCTGGGCCAAAAGTCTTGAGCTGCAGGGGGGCCTCTATCATCTCCTTGTAGCATCACGCATCCCCAAGGCCCTGTCGAGCTCGGATGATGGGAAACCCACCACTTCTGGCTGGTGTAGTCAGGGCTTGCAGTTGATGCGCGCAACCTGGGATTTGCAGGCAAGGTTCGCAAGCGCCCACCACTGGCTGTCCTTTGATGGTGGGCCAGAAACGAAGGATCAAGTACTACCACCCTGGCGCACCGCGCCTCTAAATGAGAGCCATATTATAGCTTGCCGGGCCTCTCCTATTGTCCTTGCAAAACTGCCATGTGATCCCGAATGGCACCCCCTACATTCTCCTTATGTAAAGGGACTCTACTGGGA